GGTTGCTTGCTAATGTTTGCAGATCGAGCTGTTGCGACAGGTACAGGAGCCAGGGCCATCTGAACGCATGGGCCTGGTGGGCACTTGCCCGTGGGCCCCATACTGGTCTGTGTATGTAACCCTTGGAAAATGGGAAAACTTCCAAAATTAGCAGTAGTTGTAGTTGTCGTAGGGGCCCCAGTACACTGCTTGCCCGGGGCCCATCATGCTGTCAAGACGGCCCTGACAGGAGCAAGTTGGTTCGGTAAAACATAAAAATCGACACCCTTATATTTGTATACTGTTTACCAGGCCGGGTTTAAGATACTAGTACTAATGTACAAAGCCGTGAGCAACTTGGGATCAAGATACTTGAGAAAACTTGGTCAAATTGACTTATTAACTTAGTCAGTGCTATTGGTGGTTCCATGCGAACCCCCTGCCCCTACTGGGGAAGAGCCTTCCATGCGGTGGCCCCATTTGGAGGAATTTCCTGCCCTGCAGATCAGGTGAGCACCAACAGTGTGTTGTTTTCAGCACTTGCTGAAGAACTTCTTGTTCCAGGAAGCCTTTCTTGCTGGCCGGCCATGGATTTAATGGGATCCTGTTTTTTTAAAGTACTGCTTTAAATATATGAATTTGTTAAGCTTTGTAACACTCACTGACCCAGAAATAAAGATATGTACTCACTGAATCATTCTAAACCAACACTTGAAAAGGTATCTAGAAAGTGGGAGGGATGAGAAGGGTCCAGCGCCCTCTAATAGCTGAAGGCCAGTCCAGAGGGGGCTGCATAGCCATGGCTGGGATGTGCCGGACTACAGACTGCCCTTGCAGGCCAGCTTCCTCTGAACCAGCGGGAACACAGTATCCCTTGGCCTTTGCACAGCACACTTTCCAGTTTAAATAATGCAAACAAGGATGTCTTGATTAGGAGAAAGAGCACTCCAAAATGCATGTATTGTGGGAAATTGCTTTTGTGTATGAGGAGAGACAGTGCATCATAATGCAGTCCCCTAATTGTGCTGTGGCGCAACTGAGCGGCATACAAATGGCTTCAATCAATCAATCAATCAATCAATAAATAAATAAATAAATAAAGTTTGCCAAAACTCCTTTTCAGAAGTTTGCAAACTGAAGCAGAAACAGGATGGAAAGATTTTGTGACTGAACACATGTGAAAACAGCAGAAAACGACGTGCACAGATTCCCCCACTCCTTGTTTTCTGCTATATTTTCCTGTGTCCCCCCCGCCCCCCGGCCCCGTGTCAGATTGGTCTTTTTTGCTTACTGCTGAAGCTATCAGGAGAGTAAAGCTACTGTCATACATAAAAAGAGGGGCATACAAAACAAAAATAGCAGGAGGGCAAGCCAGTCAGGCACCTCCACCTGGGCAGGGGGAGCCCGTAGCCAGCCAGTCACTTCCCTGCTCAGGCCCGGCACCCTTTATTTGCACACGAGTTGTTGGATAAGCGTTACTTTCTTCTGGAGATGGTCCCTACTCCTGGAGTCAAAATACCATGAAATTTAATTTTACGCCTATTTGACAAGGCTTGATTTAGTCTCCAAATCAACATCGAAGATAAGAGTCCTCTGCCAACGTGTATCCGGGCGGTTTGGCAGCTGTGGCTGCAGAAATAATAGGGGAATCGGCAGAATAACACTCGAAAATCCCCCAGGAAGTTGGCCATTAAGGTGAGCCCTATCTCCCATCCCCGCCGACTCCTTGTCTACCGTGTTCTCCCGTTGCTGGGCACTAAAGCAAACCAGAGTTTTGTTTACCGAGTCTACGATTACAATACAGCCGCCAAATATTTGCTAGCCCCCAGTTTTGCAGCTCCACTATAAATACTTCGGCCCCAGGTGGAAGGGCTGAGAGTCGGCAGAGGTGAAGTGGGGCTCCAGCCACGGCAGCCAGGTAAGCGCGAGGGAGGCTGGGGACAAGTGGAGCGACTTGCAAGCCACGATCTCTAGCTGGGAGCTGCCAGTTCTGCTCGCAGTCGCAGTCGAAGGCGGGGGCCGCCCTTCATGACATCCGCTGCTGCACAGGCTTCATGGCTGAGTGGCGATTTGAACCCACCTCTCCTGACACTCTTGTGACTACAACACACAGGGTGGTCAGGTTGTAGGGGACACAGGGAGGGGGAGGCCATGCTCTCCCCCCCCCCCCCCAAAATCTCCTCTCTGAAAAAGAGGGGAAATCTCTCAAAGATTAAAGGGGGAAGTTTTGTGCAGATTGCTGTCAGCTGTGCTGGTTTTCCGACTTGTAGAGAGAGGTGCCTCCTTCGTTCTCTTTTTTCTAGTGTGAGGGAGCATTGCACAACGGGGTAGTGCAGGGGCACCTCAAATGGCAGGTGTTTGTGGGGTGTCTGATTGCTGAAGGAACCCCCTTATTCAGAAGCTCCCCGAATGTAGAAAACTAGCATACCAGGGAGAAAACGTTGCCCTTTCCCTTGTATGTGAATATACGCAGGGATCTTTTGATCAAAATAGATCACAGAATCATAGAATAGTAGAGTTGGAAGAGGCCAAGAAGACCATCAGGTCCAACCCTCTGCTGCTGCACGACACCAGGTCACACCATCCCACTCAGAGGGCTGTCCAATTTCTTTCTGAATGTCTCTGGTGTGGGAGAGCCCCCCACCACTCCAGCTGAACGGTCCCACTGTTGTGTTGCTCTGACCGTGAGGAAGCGTTTCCTGATATCTAGCCTGAATCTGGGTTGGTCCAACTTGGCTAGACTATTTTGTTCCCTACACTCTGGTATCAGCAAGAAGAGATTTTGAACTTCCTCTTTGTGACAGCTTTTGAAGTACTTATAGAGGAATATCATGTCCCCCCTCGGTCTTCTCTTTTCAGGGCTGACCATGCCCAGTTCCTTCAGTCTCTCCTCACAGGGCACTGCCTTCAAACCCTGGATCATTTTTGTTGCTCTCCTCTAGACCCTTTCTCATTTTTCTGCATCTTTCTTAAATCTTGGTGCCCAGAACTGGACACAATATTCCAGATGAAGTCTGACTAGTGAGGCGTATAGGGGAACTGCTACTTCTCATGATTTGGAAGTAATACTTCTAATAATGCATCCCAAAATAGCATTTGCCCTTTTGCAGCTGCATCACATGGTTGGCTCATATTTAGCTTGTTGTCCACAATAACTCCAAGGTCTTTTTCTTTCTCATTTCTTTCGAGCACCATGTACTCCCATCTGGTATCGATGCCTCTGGTTTCCTTTTCCTAGCTGGAGGGCTTGGCACTGGTCCCCAGTGAATCTCATTCTGTTGCTTTCAGCCCAGCATTCAAGTTTATCAAGGCCGCCCTGGACCTTCCTTCTGTCTTCCAGGGTGTTTGCTGCCCCACCCAGTTTTGCATCATCTGCAAAGGTGTCCTCTTTCCTTGTGCTTCCTCATCTGAATTGTGAACGAAGATGTTGAAGAGCACTGAGATCTGCACCTCATATGCCATTTGAAGCGATACACTCAGCTATTATTCTATTTATATTTCTATCCTGCCTTTTTTCCTTCCAAGGAACTCAGGGTGGCTTGCATCATTTTCCTCCTCCTCTCAAATATAGCTTCACAACAACAACCCTGTGAGGTAGGCTGGGCTGAGAGTCTGTCACTGGCCGAGAGTCACCCATCGAGCTCCTGAATGGAGATTAGAACCCAGCTCTCCCCTTAACCACACGTCCCGCTCTTAACCACGACACCACACTGACTCTCTGCCGCTTCAGTGTAGCATTTCCATCCCAGACAGAGGCCCTCTTCAGAGGTCACGCTAATGACTGTTCTTCTGAGAGAGACTGGCCATCCATGGGGAAAACATTCCTGTTTAAAATGAGAACAGCCAAGTGTGCAGGGTCCTGACCAGGGATAAGGCACCCCAATTTAAAGCGCTGCTAATTCGAAGAGCCCCATTGCAAGAGCCTTAAACATGTGTGTCAAAATTTGTGTGGCTCATTTTTGCAAGAAGAAAATGTACTTGTGTGTGGGGAGGGGTGACTTAGAGCGCAGAAAGAACAAAGGAGGGGCGGGTGCCGAGCCCGCTCTTTATTCCTGCTCCAAACCATTCCCCAGCAGGGCCAGCCCCCCATGAGGCACCGTGAGTCGCCTTCCTCGGGGAACATGCACAGCGTTCTTCACCACCGTTTGGGGCGCTGCTGGAAGAAGGGTGGTCTGGGGACCCTTCCCCAACCTGCCTCCACTCTCCCGGGGGGGAGGAATAAGAATAAAAATCGTGTCCTGAGAACAAGCCAAATGTTTCTTTAGTAAGGACGCCTTTGGTTTCCTGTCTATGGGTGGCCCCACTTCGGCTTCAGGCTGATTGGCAACCAGCATCGGAGTCTGCTGTTAGGGGGAGTCATGGTCACGCCTGGGGTCAAGCAGCATGAGAACCCACCCCAAGGGTGGCTTGAGCGTGGGACGTCACCGAACCTAGGGCTGTTGTTGAAACGTGGGTTGCCACATTGTCTGAATTCAGTGGCACTAACAAGCCGCAGCTGGTTAACCACGAACAACCCACGTAGGCTGTTCACCATGGCTTGTCATCTCAGCTGGGTTCAGACAACACAATCACCCGTGTTTCTACAGCAACCCAAGGCTCCTTGACAACCCATATTCAACCCTAAACTGCTGTGCTGTCTGAACTCAGTGAACAATGATGAACTCTTGCCCTGCTATGCATCTCATCTCTGGCAGCTGACGCTTCCTTCTCCTTCTTGTTATTTCAGCTAGAGGCCCAACGCAGGGGAGAACATGGCCACAGGGGTAATGCAAAACTTAAGCAAGTTTAAGCTACCTGCAGTATTCCGTCATTCATTATCAACCACTGCCTGCCAGGAGATGATTTTCCAAGACTTCTCCGAGGAGGAAGAAATGGAAGAGGAGGAGGAAGAGGAGGAGGAGGAGGAGGAGGAAGAAGAAGAAGAAAGGGGGGGAAAGAAACCAGCAGACAAGCTCGCAAGCTTCAGTGCTGGCAGAGGGAACGAGGCCGCTGTTGCTGACGGCAGCGCGGTTGACACGGAAATGACACTGCAGCTGCTTCGCTTTGCCGAGCACATTAGCAAGGATATCCAGCGGTATTTTGGGAGGAAGAGCAAAGAGCAGGATGCAGACGCTTGCAACATCTACGAGGACTGCTGCTCCCCTCCCTGGTCCGCGCGGGAGCAATACTACACTGACCTCCTCAGGGTTTCGCAGCATGGGGAGCCCGGACGAGGCGAGGTCCCGTCTGGCTGCAAGAGGCCTCCACTGCAGCTGGACCAGCAGCTGTGGGGCTCCCTGTGCAGCAAGGATGAGGCCGAGAAGCTGGGGCCGCTGGCGGAGCTCTTTGAGTACGGCCTGTGCAGATGCGCCAGGCAACCAGCCTCCTCCGGCCACAAGAAGCTGCGGCTGGAGCACAAGTACGGGCATGTGGCCCCCATGCACGGCAGGAAGCTGCCCCCGTCGTTCTGGAAGGAGCCGTCGCTCAGCCCCCTGTGCGTTCTCAGCGGCAATCCCCCAGATTTTAGTGACCTGCTGGCCAACTGGACTTCTGAAACCAGCCAGGAGGAGCTTCATGCCAGCCGAGAGCTTGCAGGCGAGGCGAGTGGGCGGGCCGCGGACGGCGAGCATTTGGGCAGCCTTTGAGGTTTGCGGGCGCAGAAACACGCTCGCCCTGCTCACACTTGGGCCCTGCCTGGTGGGTGCCGAGCTGGGAGACTCCCTTCCTTCCCCCACTCCACTTGTGTATCAGGAAATAAACAGCACAGGGACAGGGCCTCCCGCCTTTCCCAGTTAAGCAGGAAAACTGGCCCTGAACAGACTTCTTGGCCAGCAGAGACCACAGAGCAAGCCTTGCTGGGCCTTTGGGAATGAGGTGACAGAGCGTAGAACAGGCGGACCCGGTGGCCAGGGAGGTGTAACCAGAAAAGATGGCCTCCATCTCCAAAGCGGAGCCCTGTGATCCGTCTCTCCCTTTTACCCACAGAACAACTCTGCAAGTAGGCGAGGTGAGTCAGGGACTGGCCCAAAGTCGCCCAGCCGGCTTCACAGCTGAAGGAGGTCGGGAGTTCCCGATCACCCCATGCTGGTGTTAAGGTAAATTAAATCGAAATGCAGCATACCTGGCCATCATGGGGGAGACTGCCAGTGGCCTGCGTCTCTTGCCTGGTCCTCAATGGTCCCAGGACTGGCTGCTGATGGGCTGCCACAGGACCCCCCTTGCCCCTCCTTGAGATGGCTCTTTATCTTTCCACAGCCTTTGGACCCAGAAAGCCTTCAAACAAAGGGCAGCTTCAGTGGGAGGACCAGCCTCTGACGGCCCTTCAGACTGAGGGCTCTTCTCTGCAAAGCAGGGCACACACCCACCCAGCTGTTTCCGTGCAGCCAGTGAGGAGGAGCAGGTGTGCAGGCAGAGGCTGACCTTGCAGCCTTGAACTGGGCCATCAGAAGTGCTCCGCAGAGGCCAATGCATGGAATAGATGCTGCATTTGTAAAATGATAATCCCAGAGGACAGGAATGCTGCTGTGGGCAAGGGCAAGGGCAAGGGCCGTGAGGCAGCAGCATCCGAATGCGAGCAATGGCAGGCTTGCCTTTGGGGGGCGGTTGCAAACGTTGCAATGCTTGGAATGTCTGGGAGCAAGCCCAGAGCGCAGCGCGATTGGCATAGCCGTGTGTCTCCGGCTAAGCAAACCTCTCCTCTTTGCACAAAAAGACCCTTATCTCAGGCAGGCAGGCAGCTCCGCGCTCTTCTCCCCCACCCCCCTGGAAGGCCAAGAGTCAACAAACCAGGGCAGATGAGAAGGATTAGGGAAGGAGGAGAGCTGGTTGATATCCAGTCCTTATGCCCACATTGTCCCTGGGCCCTCCTGAGTTCTTGGGTTCTTTCCTGAGGTTTTAAAAGCTGATGGACAGACCCGGGCAAGCTCCCTTGCCCCGCATGGCCACCCCTCTTTTCCTGCCCTCCCTCTCCACACAAGCAGCAAGGCAGCCTGCTGGGAATGGATACGACCGGAGCCTAGACACTCAACACTGGGGAGCTGCTTAAGCCGGTTGCCGTGTTCCTTGGCACACGCAAAACAGAACCGGAGGAGCAGGAGCTGGGATGAAGTGTTGCAGCATGGATAACGCTCTTCAGTCCTTCCGCAGCGCATTCCGTTCTAGCTGCCAGCAGCTTGTTTCTCCATCCCATCTATCCCAACAGACAACAAGCATCCCATAAGCACTGAACACGCACAGTCCTCACAGGGGAACGTTTGGTCCCCCCAGGCTTTGTCCGCCTCTGCTTTTCCATTTCTGCAAACCCGAGGGTTACCCTGAGCCCTCTGAGAGCTCCCTGCTGTCTGTGCGTAGTGGTGTTTTGGCCACACAAGGCGTGGGGCTCACACCTGCCCGTCAGAACTAGAAGGACGGATGCTGCAGTTGTCAGCAATGAACTTGCCTCTGTGGGTGAGAGTAAGGACACTTCTAAATCCATCATCTCAATTCCACCATGAATTTGTGAAATGCCTCTGGCAGGGCCAGCATCTCATGCACACTTCCCCAGCATCTGATATTCAGAGGTAGATTGCCTTTGGAGGTGGAGGTTCCACTACCCAGTAATAAATCCACTCTGTGATGCGTTTGTTTAATCCCCTGTAGAAACTGATTTAGCCAATGGCCCAAGAAGAAACCTAAAGAAGAAACTATTTTCCCAGCATCTTGAGTGCAGTTCGCTCTTTTGGGATCCACCTCAGATGCTTTCCAGATTTCTGAACTAGAGGCCCTCAACTTGAGGCGAGTGGTACCTGAGGTTTCATTCGATCTGCGTTTTAAGAACACCAGCCTGGTCCATGTAGCTCAGACTAGTAGACCAGAACACAGCGTTTTGCACTGCTTTGAATTTTGAACTGAAGTAATCGGTTCAAAATGTGTACCAAAATGTGGATCGTAGGTTATAGTGCGTACAAAATATGTTTTATAGGATCAAATGTCATGAAAATACCAATTTTTCTTGTTAAAGGCACAGTCCTATGCCACTGGACAGGTGGTGTTCTGAGGCTGGGATGGAGACTCTCGCCTTGGCGTGCCTCCCAAATTCACAGCACATGCGGGGCGTCCCCTCCGAAAACCAACTTTTTGCGCATTTCAAAATGAACAGCTGCGAGTTGATGTTATGTGGAGACAGGATGAAATGAGTTTATGAATAAATGGGTGTGCAACTGATACAGACCAGAAATGAGCCAATCATTCCAACCTAATTTTGGGCAGCCAGTTCTGTAAGCTAAGGATGCATCGCACAAGCAAAAATAAATCCCTCCTTGCAAATCCTAAACTACAGTCAATCCAGTTCCTCTGGGGACCCTGGATAAGTTCTGTGCCGGTTCTGTGCCAAGCTTTCCTCGCAGGACCCTGTCTCCTGAGTCCCTCTTGCAACTGCGCAAAGCTGCATTTTCTCTCTGGGTCACGCTGCCCCCCCCCCCCCCCCCCCCCCCCCCCCCCCCGCTGGCCCCCACCACACCCACATTTTTTCACCCCCCCCCCCCCCCCCCCCCCCCCCGTGTTGACTGCAGAATTGCGTGACTGAACTTCTCATCATTCTGACTTCACACCTCCCTGGGCTTCAGGCGTGCTGCCCGCCATCGAGGGCACGCTCACCTGGCGCTGTCCTTGCTTTCCAGAGAAAGGTCTCACCCCGACTCGGGCTTTGCGGAACAGGCAGCAACTTAGCAAGCCTTCAGCTGCTTTGCTGCCTCCCTCTCTCCCTCCCCAGTTCTCCCTCTGGCTTGCGAAGGTTCCCCCCCCCCCCCCCCCCCCCCC